CCTAGCCTTGGCTGCTCTTGATTGCCGGCTTTGGGTACGGTCCACTTACTGCGTCTGTGACGTCAGAGGCACAAAGGCCTATTATTGGTGGGTGCTTAACGGTCCGACAAATTCAACAGCTGGCGCAGGTAAATCTTCGGGTTTGTGCTTCGCTTGATCGAAGCGGAGCTGAAGTCAAGGCTGAAATCAGATCGAGAACTCGCTCGGGTCAAGGCCTCGCTCGGGTCAAAGCCTCGTTCGGGTCAAGGCGTCGCTTGGGTCAAAGCCTCGTTTGGGTCAAAGCCTCGCTCGGGTCAAAGCCTCGTTTGGGTCAAAGCCTCGCTCGGGTCAAAGCCTCGCTCGGGTCAAAGCCTCGCTCGGGTCAAAGCCTCGTTTGGGTCAAAGCCTCACTCGGGTCAAAGCCTCGCTCGGGTCAAAGCCTCGCTCGGGTCAAAGCCTCGCTCGGGTCAAAGCCTCGCTCGGGTCAAAGCCTCACTCGGGTCAAGGCCTCGCTTGGGTCAAAGCCTCGCTCGGGTCAAAGCCTCGCTCGGGTCAAAGCCTCACTCGGGTCAAAGCCTCGCTCGGGTCAAAGCCTCGCTCGGGTCAAAGCCTCACTCGGGTCAAGGCCTCGCTCGGGTCAAAGCCTCGCTCGGGTCAAGGCCTCGCTCGAGTCAAGGCCTCGCTCGAGTGAAGGCCTCGCTCGGGTCAAAGCCTCGCTCGGGTCAAAGCCTCACTCGGGTCAAGGCCTCGCTCGGGTCAAAGCCTCGCTCGGGTCAAAGCCTCGCTCGGGTCAAGGCCTCTCTTGGTTCAAAGCCTCCCTCGGGTCAAGGCCTCGCTCGGGTCAAAGCCTCGCTCGGGTCAAGGCCTCGCTCGGGTCAAAGCCTCGCTCGGGTCAAGGCCTCGCTCGGGTCAAAGCCTCGCTCGGGTCAAGCCCTCGCTCGGGTCAAAGCCTCGCTCGGGTCAAGGCCTCGCTTGGGTCAAGGACTCGCTTTTGTCAAGGCCTCGCTTGGTTCAAAGCCTCCCTCGGGTCAAGGCCTCGCTCGGGTCAAAGCCTCGCTTGGGTCAAGGCCTCGCTTGGGTCAAGGCCTCGCTTGGTTCAAAGCCTCCCTCGGGTCAAAGCCTCGCTCGGGTCAAGGCCTCGCTCGGGTCAAAGCCTCGCTCGGGTCAAGGCCTCGCTCGGGTCAAAGCCTCGCTCGGGTCAAGGCCTCGCTTGGGTCAAGGCCTCGCTTGGGTCAAGGCCTCGCGTGGTTCAAAGCCTCCCTCGGGTCAAAGCCTCGCTCGTGTCAAGGCCTCGCTTGGTTCAAAGCCTCCCTCGGGTCAAGGCCTCGCTCGGGTCAAAGCCTCCCTCGGGTCAAAGCCTCGCTCGGGTCAAGGCCTCGCTCAGGTCAAAGCCTCGCTCGGGTCAAGGCCTCGCTCGGGTCAAAGCCTCGCTCGGGTCAAAGCCTCCCTCGGGCCATGTTCGCTGCGTGTCTTATCTTATCTCCACCTGATAAATGGTTGTGACCTGACGCGGCCCTGTAAGACCCGGGGAATTTATGAAAGAGAAACGTCCACTTTCCTGTTAGTATTGACGCACTGTAACGCGCGGGCCACCAAATGGAATTGTGTTGACCTTGTTTTGATGTATTGTTCTTCGAGTCATAACTCTTGCACTGTGATGACCATTCTTGACCATGACCATCGTTATATTTTCTATTAAGGGGTCGGGGGGATGAGACCCCTTAATAGAAAGTATAAGAGACGTCTTAAGATGGGACGTCCTACTCCCACAGCTGGTGTCCCAAGATGAGACGCCCCACTCCCACAGCTGGTGGTCCAAGATAAGACGCCCCACTCACACAGCTGGTGGCCCAAGATGAGACGCCCCACTCCCACAGCTGGTGGTCCAAGATAAGACGCCCCACTCCCACAGCTGGTGGCCCAAGATGAGACGCCCCACTCCCACAGCTGGTGGTCCAAGATAAGACGCCCCACTCCCACAGCTGGTGGCCCAAGATGAGACGCCCCACTCCCACAGCTGGTGGTCCAAGATAAGACGCCCCACTCCCACAGCTGGTGACCCAAGATGAGACGCCCCACTCCCACAGCTGGTGGCCCAAGATAAGACGCCCCGCCCCACTCCCACAGCTGGTGGCCCAAGATAAGACGCCCCACTCCCACAGCTGGTGGCCCAAGATGAGACGCCCCGCTCCCACAGCTGGTGGCCCAAGATGAGACGCCCCACTCCCACAGCTGGTGGCCCAAGATGAGACGCCCCACTCACACAGCTGGTGGCCCAAGATGAGACGCCCCACTCCCACAGCTGGTGGCCCAAGATGAGACGCCCCACTCCCACAGCTGGTGGCCCAAGATGAGACGCCCCCCCACTCCCCCAAGATGAGAAGCCCCACAGCTGGTGGCCCAAGATGAGACGCCCCGCTCCCACAGATGGTGGCCCAAGATGAGACGCCCCACTCCCAGACCCAAGATGAAAATCTAGCCCGATTTACTAGATGAAAATCTAGCCCCACAGTACATAATTCCCAGATGAAATACTGACAAGAAATCCCTCCTCTCAATACTTGAAAAAATGCGTATGTATATATATGAATATACATAAGTATACATATATAAATCAATAAATAATAGTAATAAAATAAATACCTTTAAACAGAACAACATGTGTGGAAGCATCGGAGTGTATATATATAAATGCTACACAGTATTCCCCTATAGACATCCATATATGGTGAAACACATGTGAAGAACCTCTCACACACTCACAGCTCCCTGACAAGAGGGAGCCAGCTTAGCTTAGCTGCCAACACCCACACATGGTGTCAGCAAGGCGGACAGCCCGCCGCCTGCTTTCATACCTCTCACTGTTTCTGTATTTCTAAACTAAACTTACCTACACACCTCTCCATCTTCTTTACTCAGAAAATACCCAAGTACGGACTCTAAACCTATTCATATAAGTGTGCAGTAGAGTTTGAACCTTTTTTGTTCTCGCTAAATTGTTCATTTTACCGAGACCGGAAGTGAGGTTGGGGTTGGGGGGGGGGTTGGGGGGGGGTGGTGGGGGGGGGGGTGGGGCTTGAGAGGGGGGGAGGGGAACCAATTGCTGTGGTGGGGATTTACATCTCTCCATTAAGGTATTGGTACCTGCGTGGGGTGATTCCATTCCTCTTTAAAGATGCACCAGTCAGAATTCAACCCTCTTGGAGGACACAGAAACAGTGCGTCTTGTATAGACGCACCGCAGAGTATAGACGCAACTATAGACGCAACTATAGACGCAACTATAGACGCAACATAGATATATTCTTCCTGCTGTGTTTGATGAGGCCGAAGGAGGAGACAGAGACGTGATCACAGAGTTCTCAAGAAGTGTTAATCGTACGAATATCGTATGAACATCGTACGAACATCGTACGAACATCGTACGAACATCGTACGAACATCATATGAGTAACTATCACCACTCGGTGTGGAAATCACCAGTCAGACTTGCGGACCGAGAGTAAGAGATCACTTTAATACGAAGCCTTGTGCTTCTTTATGCTTGTCTCAGCCTTGTGCTTCTTTATGCTTGTCTCAGCCTTGTGCTTCTTTATGCTTGTCTCAGCCTTGTGCTTCTTTATGTTTGCCTCAGCCTTGTGCTTCTTTATGCTTGTCTCAGCCTTGTGCTTCTTTATGCTTGTCTCAGCCTTGTGCTTCTTTATGCTTGTCTCAGCCTTGTGCTTCTTTATGCTTGCCTCAGCCTTGTGCTTCTTTGTAACACGGGTTCGGAGTTCCTCTCTCTACTTATCTACCTTCTACTCCCTCTACCCGTATTCTTACTTTTTATTCTCTACCAAGGGACTCCAAAACTTTTACCAAAGCCAACTCCACGCCACGTGGTCCTAAGACGATTGACCGACTTAGGATTCTACACCCAGTATGACGTGACCTAGGCTCTGAGCAAAACCCTAGTGTCGCCTCTACGCTGCCACCACCAGACCAGCAACACAGAGCAATGATCGAGGTCTGGATCGATCACGCTAATTAATCAACCTTGGGGCTTGATCCCCACTAGTAGTTTATAACCTCGGAAACTTGAGTGTGGAATTAATTACACGGGAATGATTCGATGTTAGAATCGATGTTAGAATCGGCGCCCAGTCCAACTCTGCCTCGTGTGGACCACGTGACCAGGACAAGTGTACACATAAAACACATGGAAACAATAAAAATGCAAATTCTTAACTTAATTAATTTATTCAAAGAAAAAACTAAAGCAAAATCTAAATATGTTCACTCCCTGTCACTTTAACACTCCCTACTTGACCTGAGTGGCAAATGAGAAGACTATCCCTATAATTAACAATAGCAACTATACCTTGGGCGACCAGCTCTAGATGTTGGGCTGGTCTCGGGGAGAGGTAAGATGTTTGACCTCTTATCCCAGCTGCTCCCGTTTCCACACTGATCTCTCCCTTGTCTGGTCTACCCCAGACAGAGCATTGTATCCTTCCGCCAAGTCAGTCAAAGTTCTACCAAGTTACTAGCAAGGTTTAAGTTATAACAATTAACCTCTGTTTGTACTGAATTGATCCAGACTGGTTAAATTATTTTACTGAAATTAAATTACACAAGCCTCTAACGGCAGAGCTGTTCCCGATCACAAAAATGGTTATTTGAACTTTGAGAAATAGTAGACATGTCAACCCCTGATGACCTATGACCGCCGGTCACTCCGCCTTACAAGTTAGATCTGATTCGTGACGTCACTGATGGTGACTTAAACACAATAATTAGAATACTCTTGATATTGTATCCAGTACTATTATACAATACAATTTTAATGCAAAATGAATAAAGGCTAATTTTCTCTAAATTACTGAATACTATAGGATGATTCATTATACGCAGCTATGAACAAAGCGTCGGTTATTTCCACCGCGAATTCCCCTGGGAGTCAGGTCACCATGCGGGCTCAGCTTCCCATTCTCTTTTGTCGATAAACCACTCTGGATAATTCTTACAACCAGCCTAGTTTGTTACATCTTTATGTTTGTCTCAGCCTTGTGCTTCTTTATGCTTGTCTCAGCCTTGTGCTTCTTTATGTTTGTCTCAGCCTTGTGCTTCTTTATGCTTGTCTCAGCCTTGTGCTTCTTTATGCTTGTCTCAGCCTTGTGCTTCTTTATGCTTGTCTCAGCCTTGTGCTTCTTTATGCTTGTCTCAGCCTTGTGCTTCTTTATGCTTGTCTCAGCCTTGTGCTTCTTTATGTTTGTCTCAGCCTTGTGCTTCTTTATGTTTGCCTCAGCCTTGTGCTTCTTTATGTTTGCCTCAGCCTTGTGCTTCTTTATGCTTGTCTCAGCCTTGTGCTTCTTTATGTTTGTCTCAGCCTTGTGCTTCTTTATGTTTGCCTCAGCCTTGTGCTTCTTTATGCTTGTCTCAGCCTTGTGCTTCTTTATGTTTGTCTCAGCCTTGTGCTTCTTTATGCTTGTCTCAGCCTTGTGCTTCTTTATGCTTGTCTCAGCCTTGTGCTTCTTTATGCTTGTCTCAGCCTTGTGCTTCTTTATGCTTGTCTCAGCCTTGTGCTTCTTTATGTTTGTCTCAGCCTTGTGCTTCTTTATGCTTGTCTCAGCCTTGTGCTTCTTTATGCTTGTCTCAGCCTTGTGCTTCTTTATGTTTGTCTCAGCCTTGTGCTTCTTTATGCTTGTCTCAGCCTTGTGCTTCTTTATGCTTGTCTCAGCCTTGTGCTTCTTTATGCTTGTCTCAGCCTTGTGCTTCTTTATGTTTGTCTCAGCCTTGTGCTTCTTTATGCTTGTCTCAGCCTTGTGCTTCTTTATGCTTGTCTCAGCCTTGTGCTTCTTTATGCTTGTCTCAGCCTTGTGCTTCTTTATGCTTGCCTCAGCCTTGTGCTTCTTTATGCTTGCCTCTTGCAGGTCTCTCACAAGCCCAAACCCGTATTTACCCAGGTCTCTCGTGATCCCAAACCCGTATTTACCCAGGTCTCTCGGGAGCCCAAACCCACCCAATTTAAACTCTGTGGGCCAGTTGATCGCCTTACCTGTAATTCACTTTACTTGTAGTTCACTGTAACTGTTGTACCTGTAGTCCGCTGTACGTGTGGTCTATGTGGACCGATGCGGACCTTTACGTAACAAAAAGGAGGCATGATCCGGGACCGGGCCGCGGGGACCTTGAGCCCCGAAATCATCACAAGGTAACCTTGTGTAGCTTCCGAGAATCGCCGGCACCGCGGCCCGGTCGTCGACCAGGCCTCCTGGTTGCTGGACTGGTCAACCAGGCTGTGGAAGGCTGCTCGCAGCCTGACGTATGAGTCACAGCCTGGTTGATCAGGTATCCTTTGGAGGTGTTTATCCAGTTCTCTCTTGAACACTGTGAGGGGTCGGCCAGTTATGTCTCTTATGTGTAGTGGAAGCGTGTTGAACAGTCTCGGGCCTCTGATGTTGATAGTTCTCTCTTGAACACTGTGAGGGGTCGGCCAGTTATGCCCCTTATGTGTAGTGGAAGCGTGTTGAACAGTCTCGGGCCTCTGATGTTGATAGTTCTCTCTTGAACACTGTGAGGGGTCGGCCAGTTATGCCCCTTATGTGTAGTGGAAGCGTGTTGAACAGTCTCGGGCCTCTGATGTTGATAGTTCTCTCTTGAACACTGTGAGGAGTCGGCCAGTTATGTCCCTTATGTGTAGTGGAAGCGTGTTGAACAGTCTCGGGCCTCTGATGTTGATAGTTCTCTCTTGAACACTGTGAGGGGTCGGCCAGTTATGCCCCTTATGTGTAGTGGAAGCGTGTTGAACAGTCTCGGGCCTCTGATGTTGATAGTTCTCTCTTGAACACTGTGAGGAGTCGGCCAGTTATGTCCCTTATGTGTAGTGGAAGCGTGTTGAACAGTCTCGGGCCTCTGATGTTGATAGTTCTCTCTTGAACACTGTGAGGGGTCGGCCAGTTATGTCCCTTATGTGTAGTGGAAGCGTGTTGAACAGTCTCGGGCCTCTGATGTTGATAGTTCTCTCTTGAACACTGTGAGGGGTCGGCCAGTTATGCCCCTTATGTGTAGTGGAAGCGTGTTGAACAGTCTCGGGCCTCTGATGTTGATAGTTCTCTCTCAGAGTACCTGTTGTACCTCTGCTCTTCAACGGGGGTATTCTGCACATCCTGCCATGCCTCCTGGTCTCATGTTTTTGTTTTGAAATTTTAGTCAACAAAATTTATCAACAGGGAGGGTACAGGGTACAGTGGGGGTACCGGGTACAGTGGGGGGTACAGGGTACAGTGGGGTATAGGGTACAGTGGGGGTACAGGGTACAGGATACAGTGGGGGTACAGGGTACAGGATACAGTGGGGGTACCGGGTACAGTGGGGGGTACAGGGTACAGTGGGGTATAGGGTACAGTGGGGGTACAGGGTACAGTGGAGGGTACAGGGTACAGTGGGGTATAGGGTACAGTGGGGGTACAGGGTACAGTACAGGGGGTACAGGGTACAGGATACAGTGGGGGTACAGGGTACAGGGTACAGGATACAGTGGGGGTACAGGGTACTGTGTGGGTACAGGGTACAGGGGTAAAGTGGACGCTGAACTATACATATTTACCTGTAGCTACACAGGTAAATACAAGGCGAGGGGTCTCCAGTGTAAATCTTAATGTTTATACTTTACGTCAAGCTTGTCTATTTGTCACCTGCTGTCTATTTGTCACCTGCTGTCTATTTGTCACCTGCTGTCTTTGTCACCTGCTATCTATTTGTCACCTGCTGTCTTTGTCACTTGCTGTCTATTTGTCACCAGCTGTCTATTTGTCACCAGCTGTCTATTTGTCACCAGCTGTCTATTCGCCACCTGCTGTCTATTTGTCACCTGCTGTCTATTTGTCACCTGCTGTCTTTGTCACCTGCTGTCTATTTGTCACCTGCTGTCTATTCGCCACCTGCTGTCTATTCGCCACCTGCTGTCTATTTGTCACCTGCTGTCTATTTGTCACCTGCTGTCTATTTGTCACCAGCTGTCTATTCGCCACCTGCTGTCTTTGTCACCTGCTGTCTATTTGTCACCTGCTGTCTATTTGTCACCAGCTGTCTATTCGCCACCTGCTGTCTATTTGTCACCAGCAGTCTATTCGCCACCTGCTGTCTATTTGTCACCTGCTGTCTATTTGTCACCAGCTGTCTATTCGCCACCTGCTGTCTATTTGTCACCAGCTGTCTATTTGTCACCTGCTGTCTATTTGTCACCAGCTGTCTATTTGTCACCTGCTGTCTATTTGTCACCAGCTGTCTATTTGTCACCTGCTGTCTATTTGTCACCTGCTGTCTATTTGTCACCTGCTGTCTATTTGTCACCAGCTGTCTATTTGTCACCTGTCTATTTGTCACCTGCTGTCTATTTGTCACCTGCTGTCTATTTGTCACCAGCTGTCTATTTGTCACCTGCTGTCTATTTGTCACCAGCTGTCTATTTGTCACCTGCTGTCTATTTGTCACCTGCTGTCTATTTGTCACCTGCTGTCTATTTGTCACCTGCTGTCTATTTGTCACCAGCTGTCTATTTGTCACCTGCTGTCTATTTGTCACCTGCTGTCTATTTGTAACCAGCTGTCTATTTGTCACCTGCTGTCTATTTGTCACCTGCTGTCTATTTGTCACCTGCTGTCTATTTGTCACCAGCTGTCTATTTGTCACCTGCTGTCTATTTGTCACCAGCTGTCTATTCGCCACCTGCTGTCTATTTGTCACCTGCTGTCTATTTGTCACCAGCTGTCTATTCGTCACCAACTGTCCAATCAGCATCAGCTTTAACTTGTAAATATTCCTTCGATGTAATTACACCCTTAACCTTCTAGCTGTTGGTGATTAACTATCCAATTACCATGACTGTCAGAGGTTCAGGCCAACCCCCTAATTCTCTCAGGGGCATGATTCTCACAGGGGGCATGGTTCTCTCAGGGGGCATGATTCTCTCAGGGGCATGATTCTCACAGGGGGCATGGTTCTCTCAGGGGGCATGATTCTCTCTGGGGGCATGATTCTCTCAGGGGCATGATTCTCTCTGGGGGCATGATTCTCTCAGGGGGCATGATTCTCTCTGGGGGCATGATTCTCTGTGGTGGCATGATTCTCTCTGGGGGCATGATTCTCTCTGGGGAGCATGATTCTCTCTGGGGGCATGTTTCTCTCTGGGGGCATGATTCTCTCTGGGAGCATGATTCTCTCTGGGGAGCATGATTCTCTCTGGGGGCATGATTCTCTCTGGGGACATGATTCTCTCTGGGGAGCATGATTCTCTCTGGGGGCATGATTCTCTCAGGGGCATGATTCTCTCTGGGGGCATGATTCTGGGGGCATGATTCTCTCTGGGGGCATGATTCTCTCTGGGGGCATGATTCTCTCTGGGGAGCATGATTCTCTCTGGGGGCATGATTCTCTCTGGCTGCATGATTCTCTCTGGGAGCATGATTCTCACTGGGAGCATGATTCTCTCTGGTGGCATGATTCTCTCAGGGGGGCATGATTCTCTCAGGGGGCATGATTCTCTCTGGGGGCATGATTCTCTCTGGGGGCATGATTCTCTCAGGGGGCATGATTCTCTCAGGGGGCATGATTCTCTCAGGGGGCATGATTCTCTCAGGGGGCATGGTTCTCTCAGGGGGCATGGTTCTCTCAGGGGGCATGATTCTCTCAGGGGGCATGGTTCTCTCAGGGGGCATGGTTCTCTCAGGGGGCATGATTCTCTCAGGGGGCATGATTCTCTCAGGGGGCATGATTCTCTCAGGGGGCATGGTTCTCTCAGGGGGCATGATTCTCTCAGGGGGCATGATTCTCTCAGGGGGCATGATTCTCTCAGGGGGCATGGTTCTCTCTGGGGGCATGATTCTCTCAGGGGGCATGATTCTCTCAGGGGGCATGGTTCTCTCAGGGGGCATGATTCTCTCAGGGGCATGATTCTCACAGGGGGCATGGTTCTCTCAGGGGGCATGATTCTCTCAGGGGCATGATTCTCACAGGGGGCATGGTTCTCTCAGGGGGCATGATTCTCTCAGGGGGCATGATTCTCTCAGGGGGCATGGTTCTCTCAGGGGCATGATTCTCTCAGGGGGCATGATTCTCTCAGGGGCATGATTCTCACAGGGGGCATGGTTCTCTCAGGGGGCATGATTCTCTCAGGGGGCATGATTCTCTCAGGGGGCATGGTTCTCTCAGGGGGCATGATTCTCTCAGGGGGCATGATTCTCTCAGGGGGCATGATTCTCTCAGGGGCATGATTCTCACAGGGGGCATGGTTCTCTCAGGGGGCATGATTCTCAGGGGCATGATTCTCTCAGGGGGCATGGTTCTCTCAGGGGGCATGATTCTCTCAGGGGGCATGGTTCTCTCAGGGGGCATGATTCTCTCAGGGGCATGATTCTCACAGGGGGCATGGTTCTCTCAGGGGGCATGATTCTCTCAGGGGCATGATTCTCTCAGGGGGCATGGTTCTCTCAGGGGGCATGATTCTCTCAGGGGGCATGGTTCTCTCAGGGGGCATGATTCTCTCAGGGGGCATGGTTCTCTCAGGGGGCATGATTCTCTCAGGGGGCATGGTTCTCTCAGGGGGCATGATTCTCTCAGGGGGCATGATTCCCGGTAACCACCCCAGATACGAAGGAACAAGGCTGTATGAGAAAGCGTAAAATATGTATAAGGAAGAGGAATGAAGAGGAGGATGGAGGAATAGGATGAAGTAGAATGAGACAGAAAGGAGAATAGTGAGATAAAAGGAAGGAGAGTGAGACAGAAGGGAGGATAGTAAGAGAGTGGGAAGGATCGTAAGAGGAAGGGGAAGGACCGTGAGAGAGGAGGATAAGAGGGAAGGGGAGGATAGGAGGAAGAGCCATGTGGAAGGGCAGGGGTCAAGCAGCCTGGGCCGCGGTAAGCCTTCCTGCTGACCACAGTCAACTTGATCAATAATGGAGGCAGCTGCTTGGACACTCCTACCTCTGTTTACCTCTGTCATACACGCCCCTGGTCCCTGGTCCGTGGCCCCCTGGGCCCTGGCCCATGGTCCTTGGTCCCTGGTCCCTGGCCCCTGGCTCCTGGTCCCTGGCCCCTGGTTCCTGGTCCCTGGCCCCTGGCTCCTGGCCCCTGGTCCCTTGTCCCTGGCCCCTGGTCCCTGGTCCCTGGTCCCTGGTTCCTGGCTCCTGGCCCCTGGTCCCTGGCCCCTGGTCTCTGGCCCCTGGCCCCTGGCCCCTGGGCCCCTGGCTCCTGGTCCCTGGCCCCTGGCCCCTGGTCCCTGGTCCCTGTCCCCTGGGCCCCTGGTCCCTGGCCCCTGACCCCTGGCCCCTGGCTCCTGGTCCCTGGTCCCTTGACTCCCAGGGCTACACACCAGGGACAAGGGGCTAGAGCTCCAGGGCTATACACCAGGGACTAGGGACAAGGGACTAGAGCTCCAGGGCCATACACCAGGGACTAGGGACAAGGGACTATAGCTCCAGGGCCATACACCAGGGACTAGGGACAAGGGGCTAGAGCTCCAGGGCTATACACCAGGGACTTGGGACAAGGGACTAGAGCTCCAGGGCCATACACCAGGGACTAGGGACAAGGGGCTAGAGCTCCAGGGCCATACACCAGGAACTAGGGACAAGGGGCTAGAGCTCCAGGGCCATACACCAGGGACTAGGGACAAGGGGCTAGAGCTCCAGGGCCATACACCAGGGACTAGGGACAAGGGGCTAGAGCTCCAGGGCCATACACTAGGGACAAGGGGCTAGAGCTCCAGGGCTATACACCAGGGACTAGGAACAAGGGGCTAGAGCTCCAGGGCTATACACCAGGGACTAGGGACAAGGGGCTAGAGCTCCAGGGCCATACACCAGGGACTAGGGACAAGGGGCTAGAGCTCCAGGGCCATACACCAGGGACTAGGGAGGGGCTAGAGCTCCAGGGCCATACACCAGGGACTAGGGACAAGGGGCTAGAGCTCCAGGGCCATACACCAGGGACTAGGGACAAGGGGCTAGAGCTCCAGGGCCATACACCAGGGACTAGGGACAAGGGGCTAGAGCTCCAGGGCCATACACCAGGGACTAGGGACAAGGGGCTAGAGCTCCAGGGCCATACACCAGGGACTAGGGACAAGGGGCTAGAGCTCCAGGGCCATACACCAGGGACTAGGGACTGTGAGAAAGAGAGACAGAGAGAAGCACAAAAAGAATGTTTATACGAAAATGAAATAAACCAAAAAATATTGAACAAGATGAACGAGGAAATACGTTAAATATAGCGAGAGAAATACAAAAAATACATAAACCTACAAGAAGACGAAAAATGGAGAATGAAATGTGATGATGGTACAGTAAATGTTACATAAATTATAATGAAATAAAAGGTTAAAGGGTAACAGATATATGGACCAACGAGTATAGAAGAACAGGCGGACAAACACACAAACCAGTAACAAAGACAGGTGCACAAACACACAAACCAGTAACAAAGACAGGTGCACAAACACACAAACCAGTAACAAAGACAGGTGCACAAACACACAAACCAGTAACAAAGACAGGTGCACAAACACACAAACCAGTAACAAAGACAGGTGCACAAACACACAAACCAGTAACAAAGACAGGTGCACAAACACACAAACCAGTAACAAAGACAGGTGCACAAACACACAAACCAGTAACAAAGACAGGTGCACAAACACACAAACCAGTAACAAAGACAGGTGCACAAACACACAAACCAGTAACAAAGACAGGTGCACAAACACACAAACCAATAAAAAGAAGAAAAACCAAACTGTGAATATCGCAAACAAGAACAGAATTCGGGAAGAGGCAAATGACAGGAAAATACGAAAGGGGAGAATTGGCAAATAAAAAAAATGAAAAGGCGGAAAAATGAAACACAAAAAAGTAGTCAGTAAAAGAGAAATGAATAAAAGCCGAGAGAATGGCATCAAAGAGAAGGAGAGTGAATGGAAGACATGGGAGGGAATGAGAGGGATGGGAGGGGGAATTGTGGGAAGTAAGACGATGTGGGAGAGGATTTTGTTTTTTTCCTGGGAAGGAAGGGAAGGTTAGGAAAAAGTTTAGAAATGTGGAATTTAGAGTGATTCGTACGTCAGGCTGCGAGCAGCGGCGTCCAACAGCCTGGTTGATCAGTTCACCAAGAAGCCTAGTCAGAGACCGGGATGCTGCTCATATTCACTGCCACTCAGGACATGATTATACACAAGTAAATATGTGTAATGTGTAGATTTAACCACATACACATACTTCATAAAGTTAAAATCAACTACACCAAATAGAATACATGTTTTAATTTACATAGTTGTAAATGTAACTTCCTGCTCTTCACCGCCACAGAGAACACACAGGAATTCATAAGAGATATAGGTAAAAAAAAATAAAAAAATAATATGAATAGGGAAATGTATGATAATCTGTTAAAATTTCTGATAGCTAAGTGGACAACGTTCGGGATTCGTAGTCCTAAGATTCCGGGTTCGATCCCCGGCGGAGGAGGAAACAAATGGGCAGAGTTTCTTTCACCCTGGTGTCCCCTGTTCATCTAGCAGTAAATAGGTACCTGGGAGTTAGTCAGCTGCTCCGGGCTGCTTCCTGGGGGTGTGTAACAAAAAGGAGGCCTGGTCGAGGACTGGGCCGGGGGGACGCTAAATCCCGAAATCATCTCAAGATAAGATGTATCAGATTCAGTGAAATTACATAAATGGTGAACTAGAGACCCAATATATGTATATGTGTATTAAAATACAAATTTTCGGATGTATATATCTACATCCT